CCAGAACTACAACCAGAACTACAACCAGAACTACAACCAGAACTACAACCAGAACTACAACCAGAACTACAACCAGAACTACAACCAGAACTACAGCTACAACTACAACTCCAACCAAAACCACAATCCGACCAGACCTTGCATTTTGATTTCTTCGTCTTCTGGGTTGTCGCTTGTTTCCTAGCTTACCTGATGGAGAAGACATTCAATTTCCTGCGAGAAGGAAAGGTCCAGGTGGGCAGCGGTGTTGGAGATTTATACTATACAGTCCATTGATGGCTCAGTGCCGGCGCGGTGAATACATATATGTGTACGGAGTGACTGGCCCCCTGAGCTTACTCATATACACCCCTGGGCTGAGGAAGAGGAAGAGGGAAGAGCATGTATGGTTGGTTGGTGAGGATCTAGTCGAGAATCTCCCGATGCGCTTAACTCGGTGTGATCACCGAACAGTCTCTTGACTCTCAGACCCCAGCACTCGCTCAGATATCTGGTCGACAACAAAGACCACATACATACATACACACCCACACCCAAACCTCGCTGACGCTGACGCATCGCAAGAGCAAGACCGTAACTGTAACTTTTCCATGTTCCATTCAAACCTCACAAGGCCATGTCTATCTTGATCATACAACACGCTTGACCTGTCGCAGACAGTGAGTCAGCTCGGTTCCGGCCGGAAAGAACTGGCTGCCAACAGAAACAGAAACCCAAATCAAGATAGATGCAAAGATGCCACGACAAGCAAAGGCAAAAGCAAAATCTTTGTTTCTTTTTGGTGTTTTGTTTTTCGTTTATGGAAGGGGTCGGCTATTCACCTCGAAGAAACGCTTCAACCACCACACTTGGAAAATCCCTTCTCCTATCAACACGCCCAACTGGAAGATCGACCACCATTTGACTCGCGAGTTGGTGCTTTCGGCCGTGTTTCGGTGCGTTCGTTCACGGACGACAATGTAGGCTTGTTCGTCCTTCACTTGGGCAATAAGTTCGGAGAGTTTGCGGACTATTACCAAGTCTTGGTTAGTGTATGTACGAACAGGATGGGAACAGCAACAGCAACGGCACAGCAATGGGTTTGGGCTGCGGTGTAGGTTTGTGAACGTGAGTGGGTATGGAATGATATTTAACATACCCTCTTGGTCCAGCGGATCCTGTGGCGCCTCCGACTCAGGCACATACACGATGCCGTGGACGTTGAACGACACTTCTTTGCTGTTGGCGGACCAGTGCTCGTTGCTGAAGCAGTAGACGTATTTCCCGTCCAGGCGGGCGTCGAACGAATAGTCGCCCGACGAGACCGAGTTGATTTGTGTTTCGTACGATCCCGACGGGTCAAGAATCTGGACAGCGAACGCATCAGTATATCCAGGCTTGTTGAAATTATTTGGTTCCAATGTTGGACTGGACTGGACTGGACTGGACTGGACAGGTGTCGGTCGATCACAGATCACATCTCACATACGTAGAAATCAATATCCAGATTCCCCGAACCCCCAAACTCCCGGTCGCCCACTTGGAATGTCACCGTCATCTTGTCCTCCTTGTGTAGTTCTTCATGGAAGCATTCCCTCGTGTGCGCTCTCAGCTGGATGTTGTGTGCCACGCCCGCCCCTATCCATCCTGCGAACGCGGCATACGCCGCCACTGGCCCGAAACGCATCACTTAGGCGGTCGCGCCGTCGGCTCGAATCAGAGGAACACTGGGGTTTCAGCGTACAAGACAAGAGGAGGTGAAGGCGGTCGCGTGCGGTGCGGTGCGTCCAAAGTATCGCTCGGTCGTGGACATTGAATTGAATCGATGCCCCTGCGGTTCCTGGCGCAGTGCAGCGACTATGCCCTTTGGGATTTTGTGTCCTGCTGCTTTAAGATCCCGACCCCTAACCCCTTCCACCTCGAACAGTCCACAATGCTTTTGTCGTCCATCCAAGGCGAAGCAGTCCCGGCACTTTCTAAAATTGTTGGAGATGAGCTCCGTACACACGTGCTTACGACGGTGCTATTCCGCAACAACGGCTAGGCTAGGAGCACCAAACACTCCTGAGCATGCGCACGATACAAGATACCCAAGCCTTGCATCTGGCAATCATCAAAGCAGAGGCGGAAGACGAGACCAGATCGATGCACACGAAAACTAGAACTAGATTGGCGATTGGCGATTGATTGATTCGAATTGAATTGAACCTCTATCGCTATCAGAAGTCGCCTACTCGAACCCAGAACCCAGAACCCGTGGTGAGTGAAGCAGGACATATCCCGCCCTGCCTCTGCCATCATAAATAGCGTTGAACCTCTTGTATCAACTTCAATGTGGAATGGTCTCCATCTCCTTTCGGGATTGGGAGTCATCGTGACGGCATTGCCCGCTCCACCGCCTCCATCTCCTGACTCTGCTGTGCATGTTGAGACTGGAGGGAAGAGAGAGGGGTGCGAGGGTCAGATCGTTCACAGTGATAGTGGGTTTGTTTGCTTTAATCTCGTTCACAGCGACGGTGGGATTGCTTGCTTTAACCCGCTTGCTTCAACCCACTTGCTTCAACCCACTTGCTTCAACCCACTTGCTTCAACCCACTTGCTTCAACCCGCTTGCTTTTACTTCAACCCTGCAAGACTACGGTGAAATGGGTGTCTAGTGGTCTGTCTATCTATCTGTCTCAGTGAAGTCGCCAATGCTGCCTAAAGAAGCTACTGATGCTGAGGGGTTGAATTGTGTCACGGGTAACGGGTTAAGGATGGGAAGAACTCGAACTCGTTTGGCTTTTGATTTGCTGGTTTCAATATCGTCTCGGGCTGCGGCTGCGGCTGCGTTTGCTGGTTTTACATTTGGGCGATCACGGTCTGTGGAAATCTGACTCTGACTCTGACTCTGACTCTGACTCTGACTCTGACTCTGTCTCTGTCTCTGACTCTCCCTCTGTCTCTGCTCGAAAATCAAGCAATGAGAGTGAATATAGGAAATATGAAGGGTGTGGCGGAATTGACAAAATGAAACCACAATGAGTATCTGTTGGCCACCCGTCTGGACTCTGGTATCTGGTTTCATTGGGTTCCACAGACTGAATAAACTGAGGTTACAGCTTATTGAGCTCAGCTCGGTTGAAATCTATCGCGAATATCTTCTATCTTCTCTCATCCTATCCTCGTACCATCACATCACCATCATATCAGTCCTACGACACAAGAACAACAACCATGTCGTCGCACGTAAGTTTCTGCCTTCTGCCCGGCGAGTGCTGCACGCATCAAGACTACATGTTCAGCGCGGCTCGGTCCTAGAGCTGCTGCGCGAAGCAACTTTCTCTCGGCATCACACATAACCACACTTTTCTTTGCCTGATTCACTTCTGTTGTCTTCGTCGCAGTGTGCCTTTCCTTTCTTCCCACCCAGCTGTTTAACTCGAATACGCAGGAACCGCCATCTTCTTTGTCACGGTCACACATTCCCTCCACGCTGTCTATCGTGCCCATCATGTCATTCACCTTGTTCCACACCCGCAAAGACGGCACTGTCAAGCCCATCAAGATGTCCATCTTCGACGCCTTCCGAGGAGTTCCTGACCCAAAACCTAGGAAGCCGAAGCCAGTAAGCATCCAAATATCAGGATCCTGATCCAAATCCTCGATGAGATCTGCTCTGCTCTGCTCGCCTAGTCAGACTACACACCACTGACACTGACAAACTTTAGTGTTCTTGCTGCGGAAAGATCCACCCGCCAAAGCATGCACCGGAAGTCACTCCAGAAACCACGGCAGAAGCCGCTCCCGACGCCACGGCTGAAACCAAGGCAGATCCCGCACAGGAAGGGACAGACGCCAAAGCCCCAAAGGGCGAGAAGAAGGATGACAATGACAAAGACAAAGACAAGGAAGCCGATGACCAGATCATGCTACGTATGAAAGCCGAAAACGCCGCCGCCCAGTGGAAGGACATCCTCGCCGCCACCAGCTACACTGACGAAGGCGAGCTCAAGGGCCGCTGGCGTCAAATCAAGAACCAGCTGGCGGATTTCAAAAAGGAAATGGCTGGCAAAGAAGACGGCAAGAAGGAGGAAGAAGAGAAAGCCGAAGAGAAAGACAAAGACAAAGACGGCAACACCTCGAACGAAGAGAAAGCCAAGCTTGCCGAGCGGGAGGCGAAAGCAGAAAAGAATCGCCAGGAAGGACTGAAGAGACAACAAGCAGCCAAAGAGAAGAAGGAAGCTGCAGACCAGGCTGAGAAGAACAAGGTATGGTGTTTTATGGCTTGCTTGTCCTTTTGCGCTTGAGCCCTATCATCCCATCAGGCTATGTCTCCAGAATAAGACAGGACAGGACAGGACAGTCTAAACTGACTCGCTGACTGACTGACTGACTGGCCACTGCTCCAGGACGACGCGCCACAACCAAAGACCAGAGGCGAGACGGGCGAATTGAAGATGTGGGCCGAGTCGTACGACAAGAAGAAATGGCGCCTCATGGCATCCAAGCACTACGACAGGACGGGCCAGCGTATCTCGCCGGAGCAGGCTCGCAAGATGGCCGAAGCCAAGTGAGTTCGACTGGCGGGAAGTGAGTCGAGTCGGCCAGACAGAGCTGTTTAGAGCGTGGTAGGACTGGGTTGGGCTGGGAAGGGCCGTCTGGGAAAAGCAAATCGTGGTCGTTGGCTGTTGTTGGGTATGGAAGACGGCAGGCAGACAACCAACGCCAACTCAGGATATGTCGGGCGAGGCCGCCATGGCCAATGATGAATGAATTAATGCAAGAGCGAGAGCGAGAGCTGCTCGACCGAAGACGTGCTTTGGAGTTGCCCTGGACACCGCTACTATGCTACTTAGCACATTATTGCTGAATTATGCCAGTTGGTACATTATTGCTGAAGTGAACATTTCAATGGTCTGCTGGCGCCTAAGGCCATCAGTGCCTGTCCGGGGACCCGGGAACTCAAGGAATGAATCGGCTATCTACTCTTTACTACTTAGTAGAGGTGGACGAGCTTTGCTTCGGCACCCTGGGAGATATCTGTGGCCTCCTACCGCGCCTTCATTCCTCTCCGGTGATAAATGAGACTCCCACCTCCCACCTCCTACATCCCACCTATCGTGTCATCGTAATAACCTCTAGCGTTTCTACCCCAGTTCCATGACTTGGCTTGCCTTCACGCCTTTTCGTCATCAACTCGCGAGTCCAGCCCCCCTACCCACCAAACGGCTGCGTGTATGACCTGGTTCACAACCTCCATGTCATTCTGACTCCTCGGCGCGTACAGGACCACCCGAGTCTCTGCGGAACGGCCGGGGTGTGATTTGCTCATGGCCAACCACGACGCCAGGCGTGTAGAAAGCGGATGGCGCTGGCCCCAACCTTTTTCTACCACAGCCTTGACATCATGGGGATGTAATGTGCACTGAATCAAGCCGCTCGACCGGTCGGCACGAAGGATTTCGCCATAGTATCGGGTCTCATCAAAAACACGGTGGCGCGCGAACAGAGTGACAGGACCGTCGGCCTCAAAAGTGGAGCTTCCCAAGTACGTTGTCCTCGGGTGTCGGACGGAGATGGCGGTGATGAGATCTTGGAGGCGACCCGGGACTTCAATTTCCTTGTCCAAGCAGGGTAGTTGTGTGATTTGCTTGGGATGACAGGTGCCGGACACAGCCGGGCGAGACCCAGAGCGTGGAAGAAGGGGTTCAAGATAGCCACGCGATGACAAGCTCGCGGGGATAGACGGGGGAATAGTAGGATCCGAGACAGAAATGGGTTTGAGGAGCCGCTCATAGATGCGATGAGAAATGGACTGAACTGCTTTGCCTTGCTCGCTGTGCAAGAGTGGTGTGATGTCCAGGTTGACAAATCCGAGAACGTAGGTGATCAAGGCGGAGGCCATCAGGATGAAGGCAACCGCATAGAAGAGGGGAGGGATGCATCCGTTACTGACTGCCATGGCTAGGTACGGTGTGTGGCCAGCGGGAGACAGAGAGTGTTGGCTGAAGAAGCACGAGAAAACAGGCAGAGAAATGAAGCTGAAAGCCTCAGATCAGAAGGTGTGACAGACCTTGATAGATATACCCCTCGTCCGATGGCATCGGAGTTTTAGGTCCTCACGCCCCGAAGTAAAATGAAGCGCGTGGTGGTCAACCGTGCATGAAAGTGCGCCAGCAGTATGGCCGCGGACGGATAGAAGCTCACTCCCAGTGTCCACCGATAGGATAGCATTGATCGAACAGCGAAAAGACGTCAGGGGAGAGTTTGAACTTGGCGAACTGCTCTACACAGACGACTCTCAACTACCCACTTTGGCAGGAACTGCCATCGGAGGGCGGTGATAACGAAACGGGGTGCGGACGTCGCGGGTACCTACTAGGGAGGAATGCAGGGTGCATAGACGCGCCACACTGAGCAGGCTCGGGTCTGTGTGGAATCGACCCTCCGGCGGAAGATCGAAGATGATAGGAAGATACACGTCGCTGGTGTACCGGATGGGAGACAAAGCTTGCTATAGGTGAATGGGTGATAGGGTGATGCAGTGTCGTCGAGCCGGAAGTGTGAAGCCTGGTAGGTGCCTGGAGTTGCGAGATGGGAGATGCAGTTCAGGGCACACTAGACCCAAACCGGCACAGCGCCGGTATGTCGGAACATCGGCGGCCAGACGCCGATGGCACGTGTCGCACCTTCATCGTATCTGGACAACGTTACTCTCCGTCCTCCGTGGTACGTAGGTAGTGAAGTATCCGTACTACCTCTGTCACTCCAAAGCACAGCATCTTCTGCTACGATGTTATCATCCACCATCGCCCCTCTCCCATCCCATATCGACCCGGCCAACTCGTCGCAAAGATACAGTACAATATTCTCAGGAGCATAGATTGCACGGCCCTTGCAGATCCCATGTGACAACCCTGCCCGTTCAGACCCTCCCGCTCCCGGCCAATGAGTACCAGACGGCCACTAGCCACGCTCATTCCACGATGGCGAGTCTCAATTCTATGTGGCAATACTTGTGACTGGTGGATACCACTGTAAGATCGAGGATGCACCCAGGATTGAACCGCACCTCCCTTCTTTTACCAAACAAAGGGGTTGAGGCAAGACTGCGTGATGGCTGATGTTTGGACCGGCTGTTTTCCGAGGACAAAATGCCAGTATACACCTGAATCTATTTTGGGAATGTGAGAAGCAATATTGTCTGCTGATGATTTGGCCATTCCTCTCAGTATGCCACTCCCGGCAATCAGCCTCAGCCACCGTCGGGAAATAGCGCTCATGGCAAGAAACGTCTGACCCGTACGGAGTACATGTGGTAGGTTCTGACGAGGAATGAAAGGTATGGTTATTCGTGGACGCAATGTCGGCAGTAATTATAGCATTCGTCTCGTCCGCGACAGCACGGTTGCTAAAGCCTCGGCCAATACCATTTCGAAATCAACCCGCGCCGCAATGTCTCCGAGGCATCGTATCAAACACAACGCGAGAAACGGAGGACCATGTCATAGGGTTTCAAACGCTGCAAGATTCCCGTCGACAATCACCTACCCTAAGGCTTGAGCCCAATGTTTTCATTCAACATGCGGAGCTACTTGAGGAGCGGGATTGAAAGTTCAGAAGAGAATGCGTGCCTTCAGACATCCAGAAACACCAAGGCTCTGTCGCGGAATCTCAGTTGCATCAAATTCGCGAACAGATGTCGGCCTCGGCTATGGAAAGCGGACGAGAGGAACGATAAATGCGAGAGCCAGCGCATCGTGTTTCAAGGTTTCACGCAATTCCAGCGTTCAATGCCTTGCCACTTTGCCACAACAAGTATAGACAGCTGATGTTGCTCGTCCACCAGGTTAGACTCCTGGTGTACGATAATTGCTCGGTGTCCACCGTCAAATATACCACCGCATAGACTATCCTGGCCACTGAGTAAATGACACATGCACGATTGATGGTCTCGTTGCCGACGCTCGAGACAACTGCGAAGAGTACACTGCCAATAAACATGGGAAAGTGTTCAACAGAGTTGGCGTGGGCGGCTTCGTTGCGCTTCAACAAGTTGAGTTGTTTCCGGGTGATTTTGCCATCCTGCACAGCCTTTTCTCCAAACCGAGCCACGTCTTCTCGAGGGTTGACGTTGTGATCGATCCCATAAATTTTCTTGAGCAGGCGCGACGAGAGTAAGACGTAGGCAAGGATGAAGTTGAAGATGGCGTGGTAGGGAGCCTGACATGGGACGGGCGTAATGCCATTGGAGCGTAGGCCGAGCGCGGTGACAATTGCAGACATGTTGGCGGGTTCAGGTAAGCAAGCACCGTGGCTTCAAGGAATCAGTTGGATCTGGAAAGCGTTACGGCCTTGGGACAAGATTGTTTCGGTTCGAGGTTCGAGGTTGGAGTTTGAGAGTCCAGATGCTTCATGTGTCTGTTGATCGCAGAGAGTGACGTCATGGTATAGAGGTATGGGATTCCAGAATGTCAGCCTCACCGCAAGAATGTCTGCAACCTGCGTCGGCGGCTCTGTTGCCTTCAAACTGACCTCAATATCAAAACACAATAGACAGACGTACGCGGTCTGGTCCCTTCCGCCATTGCGAGTGTGCTCTGTTGCTCCTAATGATGCGACTCCGAGACTCTCTTAAAGAGGCGTGGCTTCCATCCACATTGGGTTGGTGCAAAATGACTTGCATAGAGCTCGACATCTTGCAGCTCGTCAATGCGGGGGCAAGTTTCATGATCCTGCGAAGTCAACACTGATCTGACCTCTGCCTTGCCACGCTCAAGGCATCATCTTCGAGTCCCCCTGCGCTTCCTGTTTCATTTATATTCCTCCCCTACTCCTACTGATACTACTACTATGCCTTGACACGTGTTATCTTGGCCATGGCGTGGTTGTCGAACCCCTTCGCTTTCACTCGCTGGCCCGTCACCATCCTCACCAGCATCCTTTACCTCGCTGTGCTCATTCCTCTCCTCATCGTACACACCGGTGTTCCTTCTCCTCCTAAATCAGAAACTCCCATCCATGGCATAAATCTCACTGAGGCATGGCTCGACCTCCAGCTGCTCACCTCCTCCTACCACCCGTACAATAGTCGTCGTAATGACGAAGTCCATGCGTGGCTGCTTCAGCGGATCAATTCTCTTCTAGAAGAAAATACCGGTGCTTCTCTGCTCCCTACAGAAACTGTTTCTAAGGCATACGTCTTCGACGACACTGTCTCCAATTCGACCTTCTCCTCGCCCGGGATCTCACCTTCGTCGGGGATCAGCGTTTATTTCGAGGGTACCAACCTAATCGTCTACATCCCGGGCATTGACGATGATGCAACGACTTGGTGGCTGGATCCTAATGGAAAACCGTCTAAGCGGAATGCTGTGTTGGTCAACGCTCATTATGACAGCGTCTCCACCGGCTTCGGCTCGACCGATGACGGCGTCGGCGTGGTCTGCATTTTGCAGCTTGTGAAATATTTCAGTACTCCGGGCAACAAACCACAGAATGGCGTGGTGCTCCTTCTAAACAATGGTGAAGAGGATTTCTTGAACGGAGCCAACGTGTTCGGCCAACACCCCATGTCCAAGGTCGTGAGCACGTTTCTAAACCTCGAAGGTGCCGGAGCAGGTGGTCGGGCGGCGCTGTTCAGAAGCACAGATGAGGCCGTAACGAAGGCTTATGCCCATTCAAAGTATCCTTTCGGATCCTCGGTCTCCGCCGATGGCTTCAATCGAGGTCTTGTTCGCAGCCAGACAGATTATGTCATATTCAATGGCAAGCTGGGCTACCGCGGACTGGATGTTGCTTTCATCGGTCCAAGAGCCCGCTACCATACTGATCAGGATGACTCGCGGCACACTGGCAAGGCCTCTTTGTGGCACATGCTTTCCGGAGCCGTCGCTACGTCTCGGGCGTTGACTTCTGCCTCATTGACGACAAATTTAGAGCCCGGGCACACACCAGGGAGTCCTTCTCTGTGGTTTGATTTATTCGGTCGAACGTTTGCCATCCTCAAGGCCCACACTTTCTTCGCCCTCTCTGTCACTCTTCTGGTCGTTGGACCTATTCTACTACTTCTCACACTGGCATTGCTATACCGTGTGGACAAATTCTATCTCTGGTCGGGATCCCGGCCGTATCACATGCCCAACGGCGACGACGAGATCCGGCTCTATGGCTGGCGTGGATTCTTTCGGTTTCCCTTGATACTTTTGGCCGCTTGTGCCACCCCTATCGCCCTCGCTTTTCTCCAAGTCAAAGAAAACCAACATATTGCGCATAGTAGTGAGTGGGCAGTGTGGAGCATGATGATTTCGTCGTTTGTCTTCGTCGCATGGTTCTTCTGCCGCGCCGCTGACTTTAGTCGGCCTTCGTCCCTTACCCGCGCGTACGGTTTCTCATGGATATGGGCTGGCTGGTGGACCTTCTTGGTCGTTGCAACGGTGTTTGAAGAGCATTTCCACCTGCTTGGCACCTATTTCGTCCTCATCTATGCGGCCACGGTCTGGTTCGCGACCTGGCTATCCTATCTTGAACTCTTTTCCCTTCCCAAGAAATCAGTTTACTGCCGGGGGAAGTTCGGAGAAGACCACGCGTCATCTAGGTCACGAAGCACCTCCAGGCCACCACATGCATCTGCTTCTGGGCAGGAAGACAATGCCGAACAATCCGAAAATGAAGAAGATGAACCTACGGAAAGGTCCAGCCTGCTACGAAGTCGAGGACGCTCCACATTCAAGGGGTACCATCCAGAGTCCGATGAACCAAGCCCTGCCGCCCCAGTCAAAGATGACCAGGGTGACACTTACGAAGAGCAGGAATGGAGTCAGTCACAGTGGACCTGGCTGTGGGTGCTACAAGTAATCGTCCTGGTCCCTATTAACCTCATCCTCGTGGGACAGCTGGCGCTTCTCACGACCGAGGCCCTTCATCAAACAGGTCAAGACGGCAGCTCCACGTTCTTGGTGTATATTATGATTGCTGTTTGTACGATCCTGCTTTTCAGCCCTGTGGTCCCAATTCTGCATCGGTTCACATGGCACGTACCGATATTCCTGCTTCTGGTCTTGGCTGCCACCATGATCTACAACTTGACAGCCTTCCCATTCTCACCGGGCAATCGATTGAAACTCTTCTTTCAGCAGCAGATCGACCTCGATGCCGGCAACAACTCGGTATCACTACAGGGTGTCCCACCCTATGTTCGCCACGCAATTGCCAACCTCCCTAGTTCCACAGGGCAGGAGCTTGCTTGCATCAAGACTGGGCCGTCAGACAACCTAGAGAAATGCTCTTGGTCTGGTATAGCGCCCAATGTCGTCAACCCGCCGAAATCGCTACTGGAGAAGCAATATAAAAGTTGGCTGAATTTCAACGTCACCAGAGTCAACGTTAGTGATAGTGACAACAGAGCACGCTTCATTCTCTACGGCAGGAATACAAGATCATGCAAAATCACCTTTGATCAACCTATCAGTGCGTTTCAAGTGGAAGGGCAGGCACCAAGAGATAAACGGTTCACTCCTGTCCCTGAAGGGGGAAGTCAGGAGATCCGTCTTTGGTCGAGGACTTGGGACCGTGCCTGGACAGTTGACGTGTCCTGGGACAATCCCAGTGCGGATGACGATAGCAAGAGCAAAGCCTCGACTACCCCGTTGCAGGGTAAGGTTGTGTGCTCTTGGAGTGATGCGAATCAAGTCGGAGTGATCCCTGCCTTCGACGAAGCCAAACATTATGTGCCCAGCTGGGTGGCGATCACGAAAGCCGGTGATGGGTTGGTTGAGGGATACAAGAAGTTCCAGGTTTGATGGGGTTGACAACCAGTGGTTTCGGTCTGTTGGGCCATGCATGAAATAGGCGGCATCTTCTATAGGGGTTGGCGTTCCAGGTTGTGGCTTGACTTAGCACATGTTGGAACTGAAGCGTTGAGTTGACCAAGAAAAGCGTACTGTACCGCCAAGATTGGAAGAGTAGAAAAGATTCTTCAGCTTCCTACAACCGTGTCTCGCTTTAAGATCTGTTTGGCGCCTGTGCTTGTATGTACATCCTTCTGGTAGGCCGAGTAGGTATTAGGTTTAATATATTGGAACGACTATGACAGTACGTACGCCGGGTGGTGAGGGCATACTTCGCCTTACGACAAAGAGCATTCCTCTCAACCAGGTATAGGTATACAATATCGCAGTGGCCTCGACAAGCCAAATGCTGTATACGGAGTACAGAAGGGTCAACGTCGGTACGTGTCCCAAGTCAGGCCGAGGCCAGGCCAGGCCAAGTCGGTCAAGCGTCCTTTTGAGATACAGGCCCGATACGGTCTATGCTGGAGTCCAGCATCTGATCTGGGCGGAAAATCCAAATACCCTGTCGGACATGATATGATGCGCGGCGCTCGAGCGGTCCATCATCAGACAACGAATTTTGACAAAAGGTCCAAATGCCCAAATGTTCAAATATCCAAATGTCCAAATCCACAGCCCGAGAGCAATACATCCCATCCCGCATCAGTGAATAACACTATCCCCTGCGTCCTTGGAGGCTTTGCCCTTGAACAATTTGCCCAGCTTGCCTCCCGTAGAAGCAGGAGCAGACACGTGTTGCGTCTCTTCTTTGTCCGCCTCGGCCTTTGAGACTGTGTTCTTCCAGGCCCCCACGGCCCCTCTGTTGCGGTACTTGATCAAGTCCTCACCGCGCAGAATACAGTCATCGGCCGGATCTTCTGTGCCGATGTACTTTCCCGCGTCGTCCTTGGCGTAGTGCGCCATGTACTCGCGCCGCGGGATCCGGCGCATCGTAAAGGTCTCGCCCGGTTTACTTGACTTGCGGCGGAAAAACGAAAACCTTCTGCCACCGTCAACTTCCGTTGCTGGTGGGGAGGCTAGTTGCCGTGGCTGTTGCTGTTGCTGTTCGGCGGATTGGCGCTCCATGTCTTCCGGTCTCAATACGGGGACATGGATGAGTGACTCGTCCGTGAATCTGACGGGGAGGAGGTTGGCAGGCCCGGCACCCCAGGACTCGCTTGCAGACAGGGCATCCATAGCAGAACCGGCTTTGCCAGATGCTGAGTTTAGGTATGCCTGGCCTGTTGCCTTGGAGGACGGTATATCTGATGGTTCGACCTTAGTGGAGGATGTCATGGTGAGGTTTGAGGATCGTGAATGAGGCCTTTCTAGAGTCTTTCTCTTCACATGAGGGGATATTATATCGCTCTGCATGGAATATCCGTGGCGAGGGGCAATCTAGATTGGCCGGGGTTGATGTAGACTCTAAATTTAGATCTTCTTGCTCGCTTCCAGAAGTCGGCCAAATCTGGGGTTGGGGTCAAGCTTTAGCTTTGCCGAGTACCCCATGTCACGGTAGGCCCACGCCCTCGGGGAATGTCCAGCGGAAAGACTTGAATCCTGGCACTTTGTGTAAGGTACTGTACTCCATATCTTATTGCTCACGGGAGGCCGCCGGTATTTCAACAGAGGTTCTGCTGGAGAATGGTCACACAAAAAGGCAAAAAACACGTCTCACAAGCCCAGTCGTAGAGGGGTTGGTGAGTGAGTGAAAACCCGGGTCTTATCCCAAGGGTTTTTTGACCGCAATTTCTGGTCGCATTATTTATGGTCGAGCTTATTTATGGTCGAGCTTATTTATGGTCGTGCTTATTTTTGGTCGTGACATGGTCAAAAGGTGGTCGCTTGTGGGATTCGAACCCTGTTTTGTGGTCTGGTGTTGTTATTGTTGCTGCTAGGATGCCGGGTAACCGTCGCCTTGGTTGAGAGGACTTTTCTGCAACTTCATATATGAACATGTGAATAAGATGGTACAGTCAGGTGACTCGTTTGTTCTGGAGACTGAAGATTTTGGTCTTGTGCTTTACTTGCATGGTTACTTACAGCAGGATACAGTATTCTCTCGCATCGATTGCTCTCTCGCATTGATGATTCTCAATCTAGTAACCGATCCTCCCCGTGGGCTATGCAAGTCGTCTTTGATCGGATCAATGAAGAGAGACCAAAGGGTCCAGACGGCGAACCTAGGTCGTCACCCTGCAGCGCGGGGTGCTATGGCCTGTATGGCCTTCAGAGTCGAGTCTGTGAACGACCGGTGACGGAATAGAATCCTCGTTATGACAGTGACGATAGCGATGTCTCTCAGGAAGAATTCCATATCCATGCCATCAATGAGGCGCTGGGGGCCAACAGTAAAAATGGGAGAAGTATCTACTTCTCCATCACTGTTGGCGTAACTTGGCCAGTGCAGCCATGACACCCTCGCTTAGTTCCGGTTCTTTTCTGGCCCCTGCTTGAACAGCCTTGGCCTTCTCAGCGTTTATCGTCCTCGACTCCTCTTCGGCAAGTGCAAGGAGTGCTGCCTCTTCGTCGTCCGAAACTGGCACCTCCTCTAGTCGAGGTCGTTTCTGACTTGGACCAGTGTCGTTACGTTTCGGACTTGCCACAGCTCCCGAGGCCTGTCTGCTCAAACTCGGTACAGTGGAAATGGGGATAGGAGTGTGAGCACTGTCCAACCTCTCGGCTAGCATGCCCGCTCCGTCGGACCCCACCGTACTTTCTTGCCTTAGCAAAGCCGCATTGGATTTTGCGGCTCTTTTCACACGGAATGGCTCCCGAACTGTCGTCACCCAAGCTTTGATTTTCTTTTCACCCCAACCCGGCACCAAGGCCAGTTCTTCTGGTTGTGCATTCACAGCGGCCCGGAGAGAACCAAAATTGGAGATCAGACTCGCAGCGTCGGTTTTGTTGATTGTTCGAGGCGTTGTGACAAACTCGGTCAGACTCTCTTGGTATGTCTCTGCCTGGTGGGCGCGGATAGATGTGGCCGAGGCGTGTTCATAGGATTTGTAAAGTTCCAAGTAGCGGCCCGCTTCTTGGGATGACCAGCAGAGGATGAGGGTGAGGTTATTGATCATGGAAGTTTTTGACAGCTCTTTCAACGCCTCCTCATGATTCGTGAGGTCTACCATGGTCAGCAAAATGCGCAGGTTGTAGAGCTTGCCCAGTTGTCGTATGCGACCGTAAATGTACTCGGGGTGCAGACGATGGTATTTCAGCGAAAGGAACAGTGCGCACGTGGTGGCGCCAACGACATAATCGCAGGGTATTTCAGCCCACTCCCATGGGACAGAGGTGACATGGTTTAAAATGGGATTGCCCTTTTGTCGAGTCGAGACCAAGATGGCAGAGGGGCCTTGTCTTTGAGGCAATGCCTGCGGCCGTGGCTGCACGACTTTTGGTGCGCCGGTAGTAGCAGGGCTGGCAGTTCGCGGCGGCGGTGCCGACCGTTGGACACTTGTCTCTGCGGCCAGAAACTCAGCCTCGTCGAACTCGTCCGCCATGACCGGCTCGAGGCTGGAGCAGCAGAGTGTTGAAGACGCGGCGAGTGCCTTTGACCAGAAATGACACGCGCCGACTCCCGTATATCTGTGCTTCACCGTACTTCCACTGTAGTACGGAGTACAGGAGTAGCAGTCATGTGACCACAGAGGTCAGGTGACCATTTCCGTCGTCCACATCATAAGCACAGATCCGACGTCAACCACGGGCATCAACGGCGACAACAGTACTCGAGGCATAGCCGCTGGGTATCCCTAGTCAAGTAAAGTGAGTCTAACCTCTAGAGTGCATCCATACATATGCGTACTGCCAGTGACTATGCGGCAATGGAGGCTCTGTCACAACTCTCCTACCGGATTCAGCCTTACCCACCCGGTGGGCGCACAGTCGGCGTTGAGCGCCCCCTAAGTCGAGACGATAAGCAAGATTCCCTTCATTGGACAAGGGCGCAAAGCGACCACATGCCGGATCTTTGACACCTGCGTACCCTGTAGGTGTTAAATACCGAACTGATGGGAAATAGAGGGCACCAGCCAGTCTCACACGTACCAAACCCGGGCTATCCAGTGCAGTGTGGAATATCTAACGCAAAAGAACTCGTATTTCCTCTTAAGAGTCGAGTCGATCCTAAGCTGTGACAGTCTAGGAAAGCCACGCACAAAATGATTGCCAAAACACCAAAGCCTCCTCGGGTGGCCATTATCCGCGACTACGAACTCAACGCAGAATGGGGCTATGAAATGCTCGATTCGATACGCAACTGTGTTCTGAAGGCTCAACCCGAGGCCGAGATTCAGAACTTCCAGCCCATCGACGGAGGCGATGTTCCAGATGCTTCCACCTTCGACCTGGTCATCCTCACTGGTGGCACTGCCGACCTCACGCTTCCAGAGACCGATCCCTGGGTGACAAAAGTCTTGGATTGGATCAGGGATACGGTAGCCAATAGCCCAACGACGAAGCTGCTCGGCATATGCTGGGGCCATCAGGCCATTTCACGTGCCATGGGCGGCACAATTGCGTACCGAGAAGACGGTCCTCTGGTAAACGCGAGACTGAGCCTGATCCATATCGTCTATCACACTGACTCTTGTGGCAGATTGAAGTCCAGAATGTCCCGCTCACCGAGCAAGGGCGAGAGTTTTTCAAGGGTTACCAGTCACTAGTAAGTCGATCTCTGGAAACAAACGGGCTAGAAATGGTAACTTATTGCGTCTCCAGCGACTCCATAAATTTCACAGAAGAATGGTGAAAACAGCTCCGCCGGGGTTTCATTACCTGGCGGACAACCACGAGATTTCCATGTCCGATTCCGAGCAGATGATGACTTTCCAGGGCCATCCGGAGATGACGGCGCACATTGCACAGGGTCTGGTCGCCAACAAAGATGGGACATATTTACCTGATCCCAGTCCCGAAGGCGTAGCCCGCTTAAACCAGGCACTTGAGAAAGATGAGGATGGCAAGAAAGCATTTGCCAGGGTCATGGCCTGGGCATTTGACAACAAAGTTTGAATTCTGAGGATCGAGAGCCGTTCTCCCCAATTAGCTGCCCACTTTCACACTGTAAAGTGGCAGCATCGCCTGGGGATATACTCTGTCTACATTAGCTGCTTTGAAGATGTACATGACTTGATTCTCCGTATCTTTTGTCCTGGATGGTTTCGAAACAGGCCACTGACAGGTACCCGTAGCCAATCTTGCAAACGCTTATCCTAGTGAGCCTGCGCATACATTCAATGCCGCATAACGCAATAACTCGGCGAAGAGGATCAATTGTTGCGAGAGTAGCGACAACCGCACAGAGTAGTAATTAAATGGAAGTTGAAGTCGGCGGCAATGCCAAGACCTCTGTCGGGAACCGGAGTTACTGGTTCTCCGCTGCATTCAAGTTTCTCTGGTTGGAGAAATTAAATTTTGGTTGGACCGACTGGCTCAGTTTCTCAATTTCTCAATTTCTCAGCTTTTCTACTCTTTGGTCAAAGAGCAACTGTGTGTTGCGACAATGTCAATAGAGAAAGGCCCCAAAAGGAGAAAGCTTTCCAGTGGGAGTTATGAAGCGGTCTCTACAGACACTGAGCAACCACCCCAGCAAGGAGACGACCATTCCAAGGATCCCAGACGATCGCTTTTCGTTCGTTCCCTGCCCGCCTCTGTCACGGCCGAACGATTGACGGAATACTTTTCGGAATCCTTCCCCATCAAGCATGCCACTGTTGTTCTTGACCCTCAGACCAAGGTTTCCAAAGGGTTCGGCTTCGTGACATTTGTCGATGCAGAAGATGCACATGCCGCTCTGGAGCAGTTCAACAACTCGGTGCTGGACGGGCGAAAAATCAAGGTCGAGGTCGCCGAATCACGACACAGAGACGCAGAAGACGGACGCAAGAGCGGGACAAACACTACCGCCCAAAAACTACGTGATCAAAGAGAAAAGAACCGGGCCGAGATACAGCCACCAAGGCTAATTGTCAGGAATCTTCCTTGGAGCATCAAAACCCCAGACGAACTAGCCTATCTCTTTCGCAGCTATGGAAAGGTCAAGCATGCCATTGTGCCGAAGAAAGGGCCCAAGGTGCAATACGGATTCGGAATTGTCGTGCTCCGGGGCAAGAAAAATGCGGAGAAGGCAATTGCTGGTGTCAATGGGAAGGTTGTAGATGGGCGCACCCTCGCGGTCGACTGGGCAGTCGATAAGCAGACGTGGGAAGAGCAGCAACATGCCGCTGACGACGCCGCCCCTGCGGCAGAGGACAAACAGGCGGATGCATCCACGGGAGGAAACGCTTCAGCGGCCGGTGTCGCCCTGCAAAAGACCGATCACATCGAAGACGATACCAGTTCAAGCGAGCTTTCCGACGAAGATGATGTCAACGACCTCGACGCTCTAGATGATCTAGATGATCTGTCTGAAGGAGAGTCAGACCTGGACCAATCCGCACAAGGCAACCAACCCCCGGATACGAGGAATGATACCACGGTATTCATCAGAAACCTGCCATTCACGGTAGACGACGACATAGTGAAGGAACACTTCGCCCAATTCGGACCTGTGCGTTATGCCCGAGTTGTCTACGACCCGGAAACAGAGCGGTCGAGAGGCACCGCCTTCGTATGCTTCTTCAACCAGGAAGACGCCAAGAACTGCGTCAAGAATGCACCCAAGCACGAGTCCCCGTCAGAGAATGCCGATGGCAACAAGAAAAGAAAAGGCGAAACCCTGAAGCACTCGATCCTGCAGAACGAAGCTGCGGATGCGTCCGGCCAATACACCTTGGAAGGCCGTGTTCTGCAGGTCTCGAAAGCTCTCAGCAGGGACGATGCAAACCAAAGGGCGAGTGAGGCAAGCGAGAAGAGAGACATCCGCGACCGAGACAAGCGGCGGCTGTATCTGCTTTCAGAGGGGTCGATCTCCAAGTCCTCCAAACTGTACGAGCAGCTTGGTAAGGCGGAGATCGACATCCGAGAGACCAGCGCTCGGCAACGGCAGCGGCTGATCAAGAACAATCCCAATCTATGTCTCAGTCTGACCCGTCTGAGCATCAGAAACATCCCCCGCGGCATCGGCAACAAGGAACTCAAAGCTCTTGCGCGAGAGGCCGTAGTCGGATTTACCAAGGACGTCAAACAAGGCCTCCGGCAGCCTCTGAGCAAGGAAGAGTTGAAGCGGGCCGAGGAGGAGATGCGACAGGCTGAACGGAGACGCAGGTTCTCGGGGAAGGGTATAGTAAAACAGGCCAAAGTGGTTTTCGAAAACAAGGAGGGCAGCAAAGTGAAGGACGAGGCAGGCCGAAGCCGGGGCTATGGGTTCATTGAGTATGTCACTCATCGAAACGCTCTTGCGGGTTTGCGCTGGCTCAATGGCCATTATGTCAAAGCGCCCAAGGCCGAAGGCGGCGAGCGAGGAAAGCGACTGATTGTCGAATTCGCCATTGAAAACACACAGGTAGTTCAACGGAGGAGCGAGAGAGAGCATAAAGTCAAAGAGAAGAAACCCGGGGACAGTAAGGCTGATGAAGGTGAAAAGCCTGCCAAGGACAAGAAGCGCAAGCGAAACGACAAGGGTGGCGAGGAAACAGCTCCGGACACATCGACTGCCCTGGACAGCGAGGAGAAGAACCGGGCTGCGAAACGGAACCGGATCATTGCGAAGAAACGTCAAGCCAGAAAGTCGCGCAAAGGTTGATGATGGTTGACATAGATACCCGCTGGTTGCGAATAGCTGTAGCGATCGATCCTAGCAACAAGGACATTTGTTCTATTTAGATCCGATCCAAAGTGCTCTCGTCTCATACAATGTCCCAGATTTCGACCTCCAATGTCGTTATGCACGATTGCCATGCCATCACTCGCTTTCGTCTTGCGTGTTGTGGGCGCCGGAGACCTATGGCAGAAGATAGAATCAGCAGCCGTCTGAGGTAGACAGACGAAAATGGTAACTGCTGCGTATGCCCAATAATAAATGTGGTAAAATGAGTTGTTTCCTTGTCGCGTGCGCACACGCACGCGCTCGACTCTTTCGATCTTGTGACCTCCGTACTCGACGTGAAGGGCTAGGGGAGAACCAGCCTCAAGGCTTCTGCTTCTGCTTCTGCTTCTGCACGATCAAGACACTGCACTGACCTTTCCCACGATGTTATACCGCTTGCTGAAGAAGGTATACCACTCATCCAGCACCGTCTTGTATTTGCCGTCGAGATCATGCCAATCCGGCACGCAATCTTCGGGTTTCAGGCTGGATAAGGCGAGGGCGCGAGAAGGATCCTTTCCGGCAAACACTATACATGTGGTGCAGTCATTAGCCCACTGCAGCGCAGCATCGCATGCGCGCACCACGAGAGACGCCCTGGGATCTCGCGAGGGGAGGGCGGTGACGAAGGACAACCGGACAGCAGGCAGTACGAACCGTGATATTGGCCCTTCTCGGCATACGCAGGGTTTTTGGACACGTCGAAGACGGTGCCCTTGATCGCCACCCAGGTCGGCTTATCCGGATTTGTTCCTGTGGGCGCACGCGACGGCGCAGTCTCAGCACAAGCGTTGTTTATAAGGAAAGATAACCCTGAAGGTGGTGTTCGGCCACCAGTGTTCCTCCTGAGGTGGGTTTCAGCATACCGTCACATTGGGCCAACTCTTCTAGCGAGATCAGGTCGTCCTTGGGGGCGCTCAGGTCGACCTTGACCTTAGGTTCGAATCGCTTGTTCTCTGTATAGGGACTGGGTGAGGTTGGGTCGGTCATGGTGGTGCTGAATTCAACACGAACCTCGGCCGGTTTCGGACACTGGATGGCAAGAGCAAGAGAAGTAAGTGTCAGGAACGAGTTATAGTGAGTGTAGAGGTGGTAGCAGAAGCGGGAGTTGGAGGAGTATAGAATTGAAATGAATGAATGAAGCAAGAGATGCCAGCTCCGGCAGCAATAAATGCGACCACACCGCACGGAGCTGGTGGACCAAGCACGGAGCAGGAAAGTGGCTGAGCAGGCCTATGATGTCGCAAGAGGGTTGAAGGCACTGGTGGCACCAAGGGGTGAGGGTTGAGGGTTGATTACGGAGTACATACTCTTTGAAGAACCACAACTACTGTATCTGTACTTAGTACCGTACAGGATGACAGTCAGCTTAGCTGATGGTATCTGTTAGGTGTCTGTGTCCCAGTGGGATCGACTGGCTTGTTCTAGGCTTGTTGATTGCGACGGCGATTGGGATTGTGGGCTGGCTGGACCGCGGGGCACTGGCTTTGACAGCGGAGGAAAAGAGACGTTGGAGGGTACGGATAAGAGGGCAGGTGTTGCACGTTGTGTGAGGAGTGCGAGTGTGAGTGGTGTGTCCCTGGCTGACGCTACTCGTGGTCCAGCGCAGGCTGCCCCTCACTACTACGGAGGACTAATAGTACTACCGAAGTAGTATGATGCGTAGTCATCATGACCATCGCATTAGTTACCACCGAGGGAGAGGGGCAGCGCTTCATCATCTCGATCCATAGGTACTATATCCAATACAGTATCCAAACAGTGTGTATCAATAATCAGAAATGATCAATGACTCTATCCTGGCTGGCCGACCATAGCACCCACAGCACACGTGGCATATTTCTATTCCAGCAGCACATGCTTGTAAATGCACATCCCACCATCCTACGTCCGTATGGTCGTAGAAGAAGTAAATTTGGCTCGTGATATGCTACCTACTATCTACTAGCCCATGGCCGAGCATCTTTGTACACTTACTTGCTCTCCGACCTGCTGTCTTGTCCATGAGATCCGGACACGCAGTGCTCCCTTATATTCCGAATGCTCTTTCAGGGGCTAAGGTGAGGCTTCACAGGCGTCTCCACCATCAAGCTCATCAAAGAGTGAGCCACCTCAGCAGCAGCAAGCACCGTCGTCTCTCCCGCCGTGTCGTAGACGGGCGCGACCTCGACGACATCGGCCCCGATCACCTTGAGACCCTCCAGGCCGTCGAGAATGCTTAAGAGCTCTCGGGTTGTCCACCCGCCCACTTCGGACGTGCCTGTGGCCGGGGCAAAGGCAGGGTCCAGCACGTCGATGTCGACCGAAATGTACACATGGGTGTCCCCTACACGGGCCTTCAGCTTTTCGACGATGCCGGTGACGCCGATCTTGTCGATATCCCGAGCCGTGATGATTTCAAACCCGCATCGTTTGTCGTTCTTCCAATCGTACTTTTTGTTCATGCCAGGGGCTCGAATGCCGGCATGCGCCGAAGAGTTCAGGATCAATCCTTCCTCGTGGGCGATATGGAGAAACGTGCCGTGGTTCACTCCGGCATAATGCGAGACGCCTCCGCCGAGGACTTTGGGATCCTAGGGAACATCGTGATCGGTCAGCATGGTGACCGTAGATATTGTATTGCACTTGGGAGCTCGTCACCAAGGGCATGTCAAGGCTGCATCGAGCTGACCTACCCAGGTGTCGATATGGCTGTCGAAATGGATCACACTGACGGGACCCCAGTAGTCGATGGTGGAGCGTAAGGCTGCCAGCGTCGTGGCGTGGTCGCCTCCCAGCGTGATGATGCGAGGCACGGTCGCCACCTCGCTGGTGTTGGCTGTGCGACCGGCCACAATCTTGTGCGCCTTGCCGAGCTGCCGCAAGGCCACGGTGTTGTCGAGCACCGTTAGAGGCGCGTCGCCACAATCTACGATCCTTGCCCAGGACAGGAACGTGTTGTCGTGGGTGTAGGGGCTCCAGGCGGCGGGCGCGGCGATTCGTCGAGAACCCCTAAGGTGCACGGGGGATGTTATCAGGCATGTCTTTTGTCAGGTCGGACCAGAGCATCAGAATTGAGACATGGTTCAGGAGTTGGTGGTCCATGATTGATAGACAGCCAGATCCTTCGCCCTCGCGGGTGTCTGTCCGGTGGCCAATTTGACATGGGGTCAAGTAGGCGATAGTATCTTGGTGACTGGAACTTACCATCGTATCCCGGCCGGCCCAAACCGCGCCCCAGGTCTTCCCGTAGTGGCAGTGTCGAAAGGGGCTCCTAGAAAGGCGATATCGTACTTCCCAACATCGTCCTCTGGCGATAAGCAATGGACCCAAGGCAGATTCGAAAAGGTAGATAGTCCTGCGAACTTGTCAAACTCCAAGAACTGATCCGAGTTGGCGCCCAAGGGAGATTGATAGTCCTGATACTGGTCCTGGTTCTGGCCAGGGTCTCCATTGTGGTGAGCTTGATGGGGGTTGCTGTTCGCCTGCAGCGGGGCGACAGGAGGGAAAACGATATTCCGCGCCCTCAGGCTGGGAGGGCACAGGAAGAGTAGGGCGAGAGAGGAAAGTGAGGCCTGGACGGAGAACAACATGATTGAATGATAATGACTGTCGAGGCGAGTTGCACTTCAAGTTGTGGTTGTGGCAAGCCGGCACCAGCCGGGGAAGTATGTACAAGCTCAGGTAAGAAATCTGGATCTGGTAAACCGAGCTATGTGAGTGGGCGGCTCAGCAATCAGAGCGAGAGGCTGTCGGTCTGGACAAGATACGATTCGAGGACTAGATCAGGCTTGGGTCCATTATTTCGAACTCACAGTTAGTTCATTCGTAGCAGTTGAGAGTGTTTAACTGGTAGGATGGCAGGATGGCAGGATGGTAGGATGGTATACCAGATTCAAGGCATGAAATCCAGTGGAGGGCCACAGGCTCATCATTATTGTCTGTATCTTGTATCTTGGTTGCTGATAGCAGGGTGTGATTCTCTATAGTCCGTAGTTTTAGGTGCTTAGGGGCCTTGGCCTCGCCCGGCGCAGGAACAACAGCCTTAAGTTAGCCCTAAGGTTTAAGCTCTCTCAGCCTAAGCCGCCCTTCCACCCCTCCCACTTGGCACCCGGCGGCGTCGCTGTAATAGGGGTCTTAGGCGTCTAGGGCCTGGGCAGGCTGCCAAGAACCCCGAGGCCGACCAGTGTCGTCAGCCCAGCATGATGAGCGCTCTCCCTGTTACTGTTCTTACTCTGTAGGTAGTATGCTGGTGGTAGACGGATACTGTCCAACCTCGCCCTATCTTGTGTCTTGAGCCTGGATGAGAGTGCTCTATGCCCTACTATGTACGGTATGCTAAGGAGCTCCCACGCCACACAGCTTCGAGCTCGCGAGTGAGCAGCTCGTCAAGATAAGTCATCAGTCCATGCCAGAAAGAGCAAAAAAGGCCCATTCCCGTCCCGTCTCTATGCCTTAGCCAAGCGTCTTGGTCATGCAACATCCCATTCAGCCTCCTCCCGCACACTGGACAGTCTTGTCCTGTCGCCCAAGAGCCAAGTCAAGCCCCCAGTTCCAGACCAGAAAAAAGTCTGCCCTTTACCGGGTGCCACACTTCGATCAGAGGTCCACTCACTACGCTACGCTTTGCGTTGGCGTATGGATAGGACATTATACATACGTTGGAATGGAATGGAGTGGGATGACCCTGGTTGTCAATGCATGGGCAGTCGATGAGCCCTTGTCCATGACACACATGGTCCAACCAAGATCTGTCACTACTGCTACATATTGATGGACTCCCTTCGCTGTCCCGGTTTCTCCTGTCCGTCCTGTGTGTTCAAGTCCAATCCAAGCTCTTCCTCATCATGCCAAATCCAAACCCCCTAGGTTACAGCGAGAAGGACCTGGCTCCTCCCAATGTATTGGACGAGACCCCCCTCGCTCGAGGTATCCGTACCCGCACGCACGATGATGAAGAAGAGATCCGACGAGGCTCAAAGACCCCTCGCAAGCCATCGGTCGTCGCCGCGCTCAAGGCCAATTATGGGATCGCCCAGATTCCCTCGGACGGAGACAGCATCAAGCTCGGCTTCGACTCGACCCACCGGAAACTCAAGCCCAGGCACATCCAGCTCATAGGCATTGGAGGCACCATTGGGACGGCCCTGTACGTCCAGATCGGCCGTGGCTTGCTTAACGGCGGTCCTGGCAGTCTGTTCCTAGCCTTTACTATCTGGTATGTCCCCCGTATTATCTTCTTCTCTTCGAAGCTTCACGCATGGGAATTCCAAACGGAAACGGGTCGTCATGCCCAAGCAAGTATAAGAACCAGCAAAGAATGGACATACATGGCCTCACCTCCTCAATCGGCGTGGCATCTGGGCCGCAAATCTTATCATCTCATATCCTAGCGACAGGAACGGAAAGGAAAAGAAGATAGGCTGACAGACGACACTCTCCCTCAGGTGCACATTCATTCTCTGCGTGACCAACTGCATGGCGGAAATGGTGACGTACCTCCCGATCTCGTCGCCATTCATCCGGTTCGCAGGCCGCTACGTCGACGAGGCATTCGGAGTGGCAGCCGGGTACAACTTCTTCGTGTTCGAGGCGATGCTGGTGCCGTTTGAGATTGTGGCGTGCAACGTCATCATCCACTTCTGGAGCGACGTGGTGCCGGCGGGCGGCATCATCGCCATTGTGATCGTGTGCTACGGCGTGATCAACGTGTTCGCGGTGCAATGGTACGGCGAATCCGAGTTCTGGCTGGCCCTGGGCAAGGTGTTGCTGATCGTCGGCTTGATCATCTACACCTTCATCGCCATGCTCGGCGGCAACCCGCTCGGCGACCGCTTCGGGTTCCGGTACTGGAACCACCCGGGCTCGTTCACGGAGCTGTACTACGACGGCTCGCTGGGCCGGTTCTTGGGGTTTCTGCAATGCCTGATCCAGGCCTCCTTCACCATCGCCGGCCCGGACTACGTGTCCATGGCGGCCGGGGAAGCCGAGAACCCGCGCAAGGTGCTGCCCAAGGCTTACAAAGCCGTCTTCTACCGGCTGACCGCCTTCTTCATGCTCGGCTCGCTGTGCGTCGGCATCCTGGTGCCTTACGACGACCCCGAGCTTATCGAGGCCTTTTCCTCCGGCAAACCCGGCGCCGCCGCCTCCCCTTACGTCGTGTCCATGAACCGCCTGCACATCCCCGTGTTGCCGCACATTGTCAACGCCATGGTCCTCGGCGCCGCCTTTTCCGCCGGCAACAGCTACGTCTACTGCGCCAGTCGGAGCTTGTTCGGCCTGGCTCTCGAGGGCAAGGCCCCGCGCATCTTCACCCGCTGCACTAGGAACGGTGTTCCCGTCTACTGTGTCATGTTGGTGCTGTTGCTCAGCCTGTTGAGCTTTTTGCAAGTCAGCAACGACGCCGCTGTCGTTTTGAGCTGGTTCGTCAACTTGGTAAGTTGGAAATCGTTATTTTTCCCTTTCCCCTTCCTCTTTTACCGGGGGGGTTTTTTCGAGTCGACACGACAAAATGGAGTGGTGTTGTTCAGGCAAGAAATAGTGAAATAGTGCTATCCCTCAAGGCATCGAGTGCTATCCCCAGGAAGACAGGACAGTACAAGACAATACTGTAGAGAAGACAAGACAGTACAAGACAATATTATAGAACCCCAGAAGATTCGAGGCCACCAGACTAATCTGTCATGTCCTCTTCACAGGTCACGGCGTCGCAACTGATCAACTTCGCCGTCATGGCATTCACCTTCATCCAGTTCAAAAAGGCCCTCGACGCCCAAGGCATCGACCGCAACTCCCTACCCTACAAGTCGTGGTGGCAGCCGTTTTCCGCCTACTACGCGCTGACGGGCTGTTTCATCATGACCTTTGTCGGCGGCTACACCGTCTTTCTGCCGGGCTTCTGGGACGTGCCGACCTTCCTGTTCAGCTACACCATGATCGGCGTCTTCCCGGTCCTGTTTGTCGGCTGGAAGCTGTACAAGAAGACGAAATGGATGAAGCCGCACGAGGTCGATCTCAGAAAGGACATGGACGATCTCGAGGAGTATGAGAGGTCTTATGTGCCTAGACCACCGAGGTGAGTTACGGTCTGAATGTTTTCTGGAGCTGAGCGGTTCGGGTTCCTAATTGATCTGTTTGGGTTACTTGTCTCTTGTCTGCTGTCTGTTGTCTGTTGTCTGTTGTCTGTTGTCTGTTGTCTGTTGTCTGTTGTCTGTTGTCTGTTGTCTGTTGTCTGTTGTCT